GAATGATATTTTCAACCGAAGATCGTGCTTATCAGTTTTTTCTGTTAGTGTAATACGGTGACTTTGTTATTGCTGAGTCTTTTCGTTGTTATTGCAGCCTAAACAATGCTAACCAAATTAACAAATGAGAATTATGGTCTGTTTTCAATAAAATTCGAAAATTTCATTACAAACACAGTTTCTCATCTATGAAGTAGGAATGTGGAAGCTAACGAAACAAAAACTTACCCGATGGATACCATTGAGTTCAGTCCTACCCTGAGCGAAACACTTTGTCTTGGATATAAAGAACTTTTTATCAAAAACAGGTTGTTCACGTTGCAACTGTTGAAATGATGGCTTCTGTTGTTGACGAGGATTTGATCGAGCACGTATTTGTGTAAGTGATCAAGAAGATTAGTGATAGCATTTCTATTTTCTAGAATTAATTATTGTATTACTCTAAAGTACAAAGAAAATTCGAGCTTCTATTCGCTCTCTCAGAAACGTATATGGCCATCGTATTACACTAACAGAAAAAACTGATAAGCACGATCTTCGGTTGAAAATATCACTCGTTGCAACTTCATATTAAAAACTCATAACACAAGTGCGGCTTCAGGATTTCTGGTCATCGTATATGTGACCGTGGCAGTGTTTAGTTTTCAAATGAAATTCTATCGAGAGAAACTAGATACTTTCAAGTTTTTGTTTATTTTTATCAAAAGTAAAAAAAATCATATTTCACTGAAAACTAAAAAACGACCACAATCTAATTATAGATCAACAAAATTCTTAGAAATCTACTTGAATTTTTCATAGATTTTGTAGAAGTCTTATCATTTTAGTCCTCTGTAGTTTAAACTCATACATTTAGAATAAGGCATGGTTATGACTACCTCCGAGGGTTCTTCAGATTTTAATGAATTGATTAGCGTCGCGGGAATAAAAAGTTGAAGTGGAAAATTAGTATAAAATCGCTGTGCAAAAGTTTTATCTTTGAATGAATAGATAAAGTATTAATTATATGTCTATTCATTTCGACTTTTCTTTTAACGACGATCCTGTTTTAAGACGGATCCTAAAGGATCCGTGCCTCGACGGCGCATTTTTTCTTCTACCTTTCTTTTAGAATATTGTGGTCTACATTCGATGCAAAAAAGTTTTTAAAATTTAAAATTTTATTTTATTTTTTGATGAACTGTCGAATCTAAGGTCAATTAAGTAAAATTATGGTAATTCATAAAAAAAATGATCTGAAAATAAATGATTATGATAAATGAGCTTTTAACCTACAAACCATAAAATGACAATTCATATCTTTCGGATGTGCCTACTGTTAACCGAAGAGATGCGCGGGGATTGAAGGTAATGAAGAAGTAAATATAATTGTTTAGATCTCCTTTGTTTTATACTATTGCATATTTCTGCATCGATAGACCTTTGTGCTTTTACAATATACACGCTTCTTTTTACTGTTAGTACGATACACTTAATGGAAACCTTTTTAAGACTTTTTTCAATCTACGTCGCCTATCAAACGGTAATATGGAGAAACCACAGAAATATGCTGAAATTCTAAAATATGAATAGTGTAAATGGAGCAAGTGTTTTATAAAACTATATACTCATTATCAGCAAAAAATCATTTAAACAACTGCAGATTCGTTGTTTACCTGATTTAAAACAAATCATTTCTAAAACGTTAACTATTTATTCACTTGATTATGCGCTTCCGAGTCCGATGAAATGTGGAGAAAGATTTAAAACAATACACGAGGTTTCAAATAGAATTTCTATTTTGCACCCGAATTTGATTTAGAGCCAGATAAGATTTGGTCAATATATTTGCTGATGATTCTATTTTTGTTCTATTGAGCATTTCACCGGAATGTTGTTCGTCTCTTGGTGATGAATGTTGATGTTGTGGACACGAAATCTGTTCCAATGGTCTGCCATGTTTTCGTAATACAAAACAACAACATTGTCGTCGTGTACAAGGCTGATTCCATGTGCATGAACACAGCGATATACTTTCAGATACTTGTGTCATACTCTCGGATGGTGTTTCTTCTAAAGTAATTAAACGTCCGTTGGCACTAATAACATCGCCGACAAGATGTACTGCTTGCATACGTCGTTCGTGTGCTATAGTCTGTTCAGTTTTTATACGATTTGTATCGGTTTCAACCATTTTTAGAACAAGTAAATTAGACGATGAAGCAAGTATCGTCAAACCAGTGAGAATAAAACCAATAGTAAAGAAAATGTAGACATATGGATATTCATTATAGTTTTTCTGTTGTAATGGAACAAAATCGCCAAAACCAATCGTCGTTCTAAAGTAATAGTGTTTTTTATATCTATTTGATATTAAAATAACTACTTACAATGTTAATAGACAATAGTACAAAGAACTCAAATACGACCATTTTTCGTTTAAATAGAACATGTATGCACCAGTCAATAAGGTTAACACACTCAATAATGCTTCACAAGTTAACAGTTCCATATCGGTTACATATTCACTTTTTTTAAATCGACGTTTCAAACGTTTTAAGCAATATGTTATTAATGAATTGAGACGTTCACCAACAGACTGAAACATAATGAGAGACATCGGAATACCAATTAAAGCATAAGCTATAACAGAAAAAAATGCGAAATAACTGGATAGAAGACAACAAACTACTGACTAAAATACCTATTGTGACGGCTTTTCCCGATGATGTTGTTGGTGTTGCATGACCATATCCAATCAACGTTAAAACCACTGTCGAGTAGTAAAATGATCCAATAAATTGCCATTGTTTTTTCTTGTATTGATGATTTTTCAATATAATCGAGGTCAAACGATCAAAATCACCTCTTGACATATTGTGCTGTCGTTGAAATAGACTGATATTTTTATCGTAGTGATCACGCCGAACATCTTCATGTGATGACTCCAGTTTATCAAATATAGTTGCACCAATTATTAAATAGATAAAAGTTCCAATGATATATGCCAACGTTTTACAATTTTGAATTTTGCATGATGGCGTTGTCTGTGGTGGACTAGAAGAAAATGTACAACCGTTGACACAATGTTTTTTGTAGTATTTAATACGTACAAGCGTAGGCTAGGTCGCATGATTACAGTTTAACTCACATTCACTAGAATAAAGAAAAAGTTTGAAGAAAGTAAGTTGGAGACCAATATGATAATGCATGTTTTCAGTATAATGTACACTTGCACACACCACACACCGCACAGAAGAGTATTGCTGCATGTTTACGTCTACTAGCTGATTATCTATAAAAGAGTAGACTTATACATCTCTGTTATAAAACAATAAATCCAAGTGGTGGTTTTATATTTATAACACGTTTCTATTACAGAATTATAATAACCACTTCACTTCTTTTCCTATTCTTCTTCTATTTTACCACGTATAAAGAGACAGAAATCGTGACAAAGGATAAAAGAACTATTGTTCCGCTTCATTTATATGATGGACACATATCACGTTAGTTAATTAATATATTAACTGTCTAAAAGAACAGAACTATCCCATATTATCACAAAGACATCTGGAAATATTCATTGTTATACAATTTAGATACTACATAAAATTCTGTCGTTTGTTATTTCCGTGTTATATATTTTAAAGTATCTTTTTTCACAAGTGTGTTTACTCTGTATTATTAACTTTATTTTATAAAGTTACCAGAAATTATGACAATTTAGCTGAATTAGCTACGCTATACTGTAAAAACTTTCATAAAATATGAATATCGAAAATGTGTGATAAAACCTCAAAAATTAATAGATAATGTATGTGCGTGTGTGCATCAGGTAAAATTTGATTTTAGATTGAATTGGATAATATTATGTTAATTCACATTTTCACTATGTATTCCTAAGTCATGTTCACGTTTTTTTTCATTAAATTTTGATGGTGTGTCTGTTGCGTGTTTTATAGGTTAGAGTGGGAAGAGAGCATAAAAAATAACATTGTTTCAAACATGTTTTTTTATCAATTCAGCCATTTCATGATAACTGTGTATCTTTTTTCATTTTAGTTAAAAAAAGAATGAATAACTAATAAATATTTTTTCATGTTTCTATACAAGAAATTCAACTTGAATAAATGAATTTTTTCTTCTTCAGTTTTTTTAAAGAGATTATATTTTATGTTTTTTATTAATAGTTTATTCTTTGAACTAACACGCATATACAAACGTATAAGTGTACATCGCGTATGACCAAAGTTTTTCTCTCTTTTTTTTTTGATTTGCACATCTGTTAATCTAAACATATATGATAAAATCTTGATTTTTGTTTTTTAATATTCATCGTTCATTTGTCTACAAAACTATATTGACTGTGTGATTATATTATGCAAAAGTGAAAAGTCACACAAAAACTACTACAAAATTCCAAGATAGTCAAAATCCTAGACAAAAAGAACTCGTTCATGTGTAGTCATTAAAAGACTCATTGACTGAGTTACAACTCATAGTTTTTCAAGTTCAAACTTGGTTATATGAGAACTGTTTGGATTTTTTCTCATTTTTCTCCTATTCATCATCATTTTTGTACATCACTATTGCTATAACTCCTTAAAAACTCAAATGATTTAGATTTAGAGTTTTTAATTTGGAGAATTTCATATCTGAATACGACAATTGTCATATGACTTTCTTGCAACGTGGAAAGAGAAAAAACATCATTGTACTTTTCTAAGGATTTTAATAAAGATATTCTTTGTGCCATAAAAGTGGGCGTATAATAATCTATTATATACGAAGAGAAATAGTATAGTCGACAGTATTAGAAGATTTAGTCTGATGTAGCAAATGCCTGTAGTACTATTATTAAAAAAATGTTGAGTTTGCCGAAAAATACTTAAGAATATTGATCATTGTGGAGTTACATAGTATTTACTGTGTATTTTATAATAAAACAGTCAATACAGCTTTATAAACAAATGAACGATGAATATTAAAAAATAAAAACCAACATTTTATCATATTTATCTAGGCTAACAGATATGTAAACGAAAAAGTAGAGCAATAAACTTTTGCCAAAGTTAATAAATTATTAATGATTAATAATAAATATAGATATGACAGTACAAACATTCGTCTTATTAATTAATTAAAAATCATAATATCAGCAATAAAATTTGTATTCTTTAACATTTATTTGTATACAGGCGTGCAAAGGAAAAACTGTTTATAAATAGTAAATTAACTTTAGTTACATTTTAGTACCGTATCATCGAATTAGTATATATATATTTTCTCTGAACGTTGGCCATGTATTCTCTCTCATACACTGATGTTCTATCAATATCATAGTAACTATTCTTTATTAATGTCAAACGCAAGATACAGTAATTTTATTTCTGTTTATTTTTGTATTCTACTCTAATTCACAATAAAAATGAAATTTTACATGTAAAAAACACTTGATCTTTTCTTTTTAATAGTAGAATGTCTATAGTTCTCTAAACGGTCTATTAACCAAATAATAGTAATCAGAGTTTTTATAAAAAATTTGTTCTGCTTTAATTATTAATTTAAGAAAAGGCTGCATTACTTCTACTTAAATAGTCAATGTTATGGAATTTAAAAACGAGATTAAAAAGCAAAATTCGACTGATCTACTAATAGGGGGTTTCTCCTTATTGGATATAATTGTGGTCTATAGAAATACTTTTGATTTGTTAAAATCTACATTATAAAATTAAAATCCAACATTTCGGATTAAAAAGATGTCTTTAAATTCAAAGTTACAACTGATATACTACTAAATATTTGCGATTGACTGGCATACCTTTCTGTTTAAATAATAATGTTCTAATATACATTGTGTTTTCATCATTTTCATTCGTTCTTGTTTATTTTATTGAATGACATTTACAAATGATCATTGAACATTAATGGTAACAAATGATATGGAAAAAAGAGAAGAGGGAATATGATGCGGAACAAAACCCCTATGAATAATTACTAATATCTCTCTCGTGCGCTGTTCTTTCTCTCACAAAATCATCTTGTTCTCTCTGACGACTGTTGTCGTTGTAGATATATGGATGACAAAAAAATCATTTTAGATCTAAATAAGATAGGAAACATGAACATGCAACAATAATACACATACAAGGCAATACACTCAAAAAAAAACAAAAAAAAAAAACGAAGCGATCTTTTTTGTTATAGTAATTTCTCTTCTTGAAAAAATAACTGAAGAATAAGAAAATCTTTATAGTTCTATCTGCCAAATTATTTGAATCTATTTGTTTCATTATACAACAGTAAAAGAGACATATAGAAAAAAGAGAGAACTACATATAAATCTGATACCATGAAAGAAGAAAATAGATGAAACACATTTTTATGTACACTGCATGACAATCATATTTTTAATTAATTAAACTATTGCTAAGTAATTGAATAGCAGCAGATTACGTTTACTTTATTGAATTTAAGTTTCTATAGTTATGTAGACTTATTAATAATAAATTTATGGATATTGCACTAATTGAAACTACTATACAAAATAATATACCAAATACACACTAATCTATTATAAAAATAATTTTGAAGCCATTTTTCTATTATAATTGTGTAATGCTAGTCAAAATTCAAAAATTATTTATTAAAGCGAAATATAAATTATTCTATTTTTTTTTTTTGACAAATGTAAAGAATAAAACTCTATTATAGTATACAAGTTCTCTATCAAGTCGAAACAGAAACAAAGGAGAAAATTTCGAGACAGTTTAGTGAGAGAGTTGGTGCAAATATTAAGGACTATCTGAAAAGATAGTTACATTCACTAATTTCAGATACAAAAATTCAACGAACAGATAGAACTTGGGCTCCTCTTGCCTTTTTGAAAAAATTGATTCTTCTTCTTTGTTTTTTAATATAGTGTTCTTGCTAAAATGAACACCAAATTAAATCAAATGATTTTTGTTGAGAAACAGGCATAACTAATGTATCGAATATAAGTTCAACATTAACAGACCATGATGTTGACTTATATCAGTTAGTGTTATTAGAAATGGTCAAAGAAAAAGAATGCATGATGTCTCGATAAATATAATTGATCGATAGAAATAATATGTAAATTAAAAAATTCAGAACAATTGTTTGGAGACTATAATAAAGAACTAGAAAAAAAAATTCATTTTCTGATATTTGACAGCTTACAAAGTATCCTAACCATTTTTTTTTCTTTTACTGACAAGAGTAGAAAAAAATTATTGACAACTTTCTGCCGGCATTAAAATAATAATTTTTTATAGATAGTGGGAGGAAGGGTACATGGACATTTTTGACTTACTGTGCGACACGTAATTTTTTGGCTTGAAGGTTAATTGAAATCACTTATATAATCATTTTTTTCCGAAGAACATTAGGGGACTAAGAGCAAAACTTTCCAAAGGCATTTTTTCTCTTAAAACGCTTTTAACACACATCATCCGATGTAGTTTAACGAGTCGCTGCATAATTTTGAATATGTAATCAGTTTTAAAACAAAAAGTTATGTGAAGCTAAGAAAAATCAAGAATATTTATCAAACTTTCAAAAAAAATGCGGAGAAATGCAGAAAAGTTTGCGTATGTACCATCGATGCACTGCTATCAGCACAGTGTTTGGGCAGTTTGAGCCAAAATGATAAGAAAATTTAGGAAACTCATTGTACAAACGACGTGTTTTGTAGACATTTTCTTGACGCGCAAAGTATTGATTTTCTCCGACATCTTAGGTTAAATCTACCAGATTAGATTCCTCCTTTCTTCTAAAAACGTTCTTTTATCAAATTCTATCGCATAAATAGTATTATTTTCTTCAATTTGAAAAATGAAAATATATCGATTTTTGCTAGTAATTTTTGTATCCATTATTTCTGCCGATCGTCATGTTCTATGACTTAATTTTATGACGTTCAATAGCCCTAATATCAGAGCGCATATTGCATGATTTAAATAGTGAATAACGCAACAGTCGTTTTTTCGCTGTTTCCATATCAATGTCCACTGCAAGGGAGGGAGATTCTCCCCGTGTGTATCCTCGGGAACTCATACGTCCATCGTGTAATTCCTAAGTACGAAGCGGCACTAACAATCTCTGTAA